TGAAAAAGCCCAATACACATTTTCACTTAAAAAAAAAAAAACTATAGAAATCATAGGACTAAATGGACCTCTTAATATAGCAAAGAACATTTATTTAAATCCCAAGTAAACATTACATATAATGGGAAAAAACAGTTAGAGGCCTTTCCAGTAAGATCACAGGGAAAATAAGGATGCCCATTATCATTAATATTTAATATAGTGCTAGAAAACCTAGCTGAGGATCTTGGACTTTAGATATTATCTATTCTAATCCCATCATTCTACTGATGAGACAAATGAGATCCTGGGAAAGAAGTTTACTTGTTCTCCTCTAAGTTAACGGCGTAAATATAAGCTAGGATGCTGTCTGTTTTTGATTAATATTAATATCTTGAATTGGCAAAATATTTTTTACTCTTTAAGTTGCTCCCAATTTTATATTATAATCTCCTTGAGGCCTGGGACCTTGTCCTATTCCTTTTTCCATCTCCAGGATCTAAAAGGGTCCTGTATTTTGGTGATTAATAAATGTTTGTTGAATTAAATATCCTCACTCTCACCCTCACCCTGTGAGGCAAACAAGGTAGGTTGTGTATTACACCTAAATACTTTTGGCATTCAAGGTCTGGCTGTCTTACTATGCATATTTGTCTCTAAGGACTGTCAAAAATGAAAGCTTCTAATTTTGTTGGGTCGATCAAATTATTTTTTTTTCCTTGGTGAGGCAATTGAGGTTAAGTGACTTGCCCAGAGTCACACAGCTAGTGAGTGTTACGTGTCTCAGGCCTGATTTGAACTCAGGTCCTCCTGACTCCAGAGCCAGTGCTCTATCCACCTAGCTGCCCCCAATCAAATTATTTTCCACATAACCCCACCCATTCCATCTCATTCAGTTCAATTTATCAAACATTGTTAGTAATGTGAGGAAGATGCAAAGAGAGTAAGACAGGATGCTTGTACAGTCTACCAAACAATGCCTTATACATATCTAGCTGTGTACAAATTAACACACTTCCATTAATTTGCTCTTACTGCTTTTCCAGCTGTGAATGACTTTTGTTTTTTATCTAAGTAATAATAATAACTATCCTTCAAAGCATTTTATATATATTGTATCAATTGAATTTTACAATATTGTGAGGTACATATTATAGTGCATGTTATCTCCATTTTCTTGATGGGGAAACAAATTGGGGTAAATCAAATGACTTGCCTATGGTCACTGGTAAAAGTAGGACTTGATTTCAGGTCTTCCAGACTCTGCTTTTCTGGGTGATGAGAAGACCTGCTGGCTATCAATGTGGGCATTCTTCCTCTCACTCCCTACTCTGCCCTCCCCCCATGTCCCACAACCTATGAACCTATCAGGGATGGCCAGGCTGCAGGAAGACCCGCCACCACTACAAGCAGCCTCCCCACTTCCCTCAACCTCTACCCCTACAGTGCAGGATAATTTAAGGACAATACCAGAACCCATTTATGATCCCAGGCTGTGGAAACATCTGCCACCACCAGAAGCACCCTCCCTATCTTGCCTTGTCTCCTTCCCTCCACAGCATGGAACAGTCCCAGAACCCACTGGGATCTCATTCTGAGACTCTCCATTAGCTCTATGGCTGAACTTTTTTATGACTGATCTCCTTCAATTAACATCTGAGCTCCTTGAGAGGGACTGCATCACCTTTTTTATCTGTATCCCCAGAGTGCAGCATGTAGATAGTACTTAATAAATGCTTTTTCATTTTCCTCCTACTCTTCAAGGGCTACCTCAGGTCCTTCCACCTTCAGAAAACCTTCACTGATTAGTCCAATCCCCGGCGCTTTCTCACGTCTCTGAAATTCTCACTTAACACTTGGAGACCTTCAAACGGCTGGATAATTACTGGCTTGAGATGCTGTTGACAGGATTTCGCTCAAGCAGAAGTAGGCTTGAATGACCTTCAACTCAAGAGATGACCCTTCCCTGATAGCTCCAGTCTGAAATGACCTATCCTTTCTTTAAATATGCTTTACCAGTGTGTTGCAGAAAGAACAGTGGACTTGGGAGTCAAGAGACCTGGTATTAAATCTTACTTTCCTCACCATATGACCACAGGCAAGTCATTTAACCTCTTGAGCCCTTAATTTTGTTATTTGTAGCAATAGGAATATTTGCACTCTCTACTTCATAGATGGTTATTGTAAAGAAAGTGCTTCATAAATGTCAAGTGCAACTGAAATGTTACTGCACAGTTTTATACTCATGGTTTACCTTGAACTATTACAAAGTAATTGCATATTTATGCATATGTAGGTCAACTTCCCCTCCCATATAATCTCCCTGAGGGTAGGATCATTGATTTTTTAATATCTCTTCCAGAATTAAGCACTTAATGGTTACTGGAGTGACTTGTGTAAGTTCTTAGCTGCCTCCTGAATTTGCTTTTCCAAATACACAATAAACTCCAACCCAGCCTCCAGGAACCTTGTCTTAACCTTAAATATATTTCTGCCATCCTACAATTTTAGCACCTAACAAATACAGCGAAGTGCAGTGGAAAAGTACTGGATCTGGTATCAGAAGATCCTTGGACGTATCTCTTCACCTGTCTGAACCTATTTTCTCATCTATAAAATGAAGACAAAAATACTTGCACTACTTACCTCAGGTATTGTTAGAAACACATGGTTTTACCACATGTAAATGTAAGCTATTCTTATTAGGAGCTCATAAATACTAGACAAGTTAATTAGGCTCCTTTAGAATATAATCCCATTGGACAGCATTTCCCCCAATTCCCTTTGGCCTACTTCTGGTCATCCTGGGACTAAACTGAAGTTTCAGTCACTTGACAGTCTCATTCTGACTGAACATCAGAAGCAGCAAAGTTCAATGCACCAAGTCTATTAAAATATGATTTCCAACTAGGTTGTTGAGGCAAGGTAAGAATTCCAGCAAGTCTGTGGTAAGGACTGTAGAATACAGTCAAAGCTGGGCAGGACCTTAGAATTCATCTAATCCAATCCTCTCACTTCATAGATGGGAAATCCAAGGGCCGGAGAAGAGACCAATGACTTTGTCCAAAGTCATAGTTCTAGTCTTGGACAGAACTTAGTGCTCCTCCCATTGCACAATATTCTTTATTAAGCTTATGGCAAGACTTCCTCCAGCTTTCTACCATAAATTTGAAATCTAGCTCACTGAGAAATTAAAAAAAAATTCAAACCAATTGACAAGGATTTTTAAATTTACTTCATGCTGGTTATCTACACACTATAAGAAAGGCTTCAAGGAACAGGCCTGGCCATTAATTTACTGTAAACTGCCTGCCATGGAAAAGTGAAGTCTATGAGCATAACAGAGCCAGGTTAGTAACTCAATATATTCTGCTTTAGATTAGTGAGAGCACTGGACTTGGGAGAGTGATACTTTTTGGGGGAGGCAGTCGGGATTAAGTCACTTGCCCAGGGTCACAGGACAAAGTGCCTGAGGCCAGATTTAAACTCAAGTCCTCCTGATTCCAAGGCCAGTGCTCTATCCACTGTACCACCTAGCTGCCCCAAGAGCACTGGACTTGGAGTCACAAGACCTGGGTAAAAGTAGGGCTTCACCACTTACTAGCTGTGTGATTTGGTGAAAGTTAATTCCTGATTCTTCATTTCCATAATGGGGAAAAGATTACTCACATGATAATCATTTATTTATAAAGCACTTAGCACAGTGCCCAGGCACTTGATAAATGCTTGTTCCCTCCCCTTCCCCCTAAATATACATCATAGGTTTGTTATATGGAAGGTGTAAGCTCTTATTTCTTCAAAAGAAAGCTCTGTATTTTCAACACAGTACTTGAGTTCTGAAGCTTTCCACTGATGATGATGAGTCATTCCATGAATTAACAGATGGACAGGTGGAAGACCTACCACAGGTCGGCCAACCTCCTGGTGATAAGCTTCTCTGAACTTTACTAGGCTAGTTCAGACAAGAATGTTGCCAGAACCATGCTCAAAACCTTTCTGCTGGGACCAACCAAAGCTCATGCTTTATTGACATGACCTCCAAAAACCTGAGGTCACCTACACCCCTGAGGCATCAGAGGAAAATCTTAGTGGAAGAATATTAAAGATTGTTAAGTAAGCAGTCATGTGGTTGGGCAGAAAATGGCATTAAGATAGTGACAACAGGTAAAGTGAGTAATAGTAAAGAAAGCCCCAGCCTCCCAGATTTCTGCCCCCAGAACTGTGACACAGTAAGTCAAAACACCATGTTGAAAATTTAATAAATTATTAAATTTATTTATATTTTGACTTTTAAAAGTCAGAACAAGATAAAGTTCTCATTTGCTGAAAGGTCTTCTTACAAGAAATATATGAAGTGCACTTAAGATTAATACAAGAAAACTGAAATCAAGTTGATCCCTTTGCCCAGTGAGTCTGATATGCTCTAGTCAAAACTTTCAAATCCCAAAGTTTAGACACATTTTTTCCTATCTAACCTCCAGAGAGTTATAGCTTGCTGCAGTGTCAAAGTTAAATTTCTCTAGAACTTATATTACAGTAATGTCCTTAACTCTGGGATCCAATTATGGTAAATAAAGCCTAAAAAGCCTAAAAAGATGAATCACTAGCATTTAGAGATATATGGGCTTTCAGGGATCAACTGGCATTTACAGATGCTACTTAAGCCCATCAGAAAAGGTAGGATAGCAGCATACAATGGCCCAAAGCATGTCTGGCGACCTAGAACATCAGTCACTGACTAGATTAAATCCAGCAGTCAGACATGAAATCTAAAGAACAAGATCAAAATCCGATCTGGTTCCATCCTCCTTTTGCTCATTAGGAGGCAAGCAGAGCGCAGCTCTTACAGAAGAGGCTCAAAGCACTTTGGCCTTGTGCTTATTAATATTAGCAAAGTATGCTGAACTTCAAGTTCCCTGAACAGTTTCCAAAGCAGGTTTCCTAGAATAAAACAGAAATATGAATCTCGAAATCCAGATGATTAATAAAACAACATTTCTATTCTGTGCAAAGAACTTCTATTTACAATGTTCTGAATATTAGCAGATTTTTTTTTTTTTTGGTAAGGATAACACTTTGCTTCTATGTTACCTCTAGATAATAGAATCTGCCTGAGGGCATTCTGATTTCTTACTTTTTAGATTGAATTAAGGATGACATTTTATACACGGTGTTCTCTGTTGAAACTGATTCCACAAAGAAACTATTCAAGAGATAAAAGAAAAATTTCTCAGTTTATATAATTTGCTTTTTAGAAAAAACCCAAGCACTCACTCTACTCTCACAAATCATAACTTAAAAATCTCTTTCCACCTCAGTTTCCTTTGGAAAACTCTAGTGGTCTGAAGTTTTTATTTTAACACTTTGCTACATGGGCTATTAGGCTAAGAATGTAAGGAGACCCACAAATATAAAGGTTTAATATGAGGTGAGAATACCTGAAAACACAACAGTAGTCTGGGGGAAAAAATGTCTTTCCCATTTATAAAGATTTAGAATTTTACTCTTCAATTCCAGAAACATTTACTTTTACAGATAAAAGGGGTTACATTTTATCCTAAACAATACCAACTAAGCATTGAACTTAAGAGTATGAATTAGTTGGAATTCTAGAGGTGCGCTTGAGTTCTATGGAAGGGTAATCAAAAATTTTCATTTGCAGCACTATAAATCCTAAACACCCTTTAAAGGACTTTCAAGTACGCTTACTGGAAAATTAACCCAGTCTTAGGCAGAGAGGGCCAAGGACTAGTGGGCATCCTAGCTCAAAGTCTGATCAAACATTCAATGCTTTATCATAGATCCATGGGCAAGAAAATAAATTAGACTTCCTATTATCTCAATTCTGCTAAAATGCCCCAAAATGTGACTCTAGCGTATAGGAAGTAACCAGTAAATACTGTAAGGGATGAAAACAAAAGCAGAAGAGGTGAAGGAAAAAATACACCAGTTATCACTGCAGAAAAAAAAATGCAGAAATTAGAAGTGCAACATAACAAAAACCTGCCAAAAAGAAGGGAGCAAAGATGGGATCTATGAGTTTCAAGGGGGGGGGGGGAGGCAGGAAGAAGAGGGCTCTGACCATGATCCTTGCTATAATCATGGCCATTAAAAAAGATGCTGCTGCTTCTACTTCTTCTATGTAAACCTTAAAACTCCACAACATAACTTTTGAGTTCATTTATCTATCAAGGATCGAAGCAAAGCTTGGTTCATCATGTCATCTTCATCCACATCATAATCCTGAGGACAAAAACAGAGTATTATGCAACATGAAATCTCAGCAACAAGATAGTGATAATCATGTAGTAGTAATGAGGGATGGGAGGATGGGTATGATTGCACTTATGATGAAAATTATATAAATCTCCCTTATAAAAAGGCAAATGAAATTAAAGAACTGTATTAACCAATCAACAACCATTTAAGTGCCTACCACATGCTAACCACTGAGGAAGACAAAAGTGAAATTACTCCCTACCCTGGAACTTTCATCCTCCAGAAGAAACAACATATACAAAGCATACACCAGATTTAAGGTGGGAGGAGAATGAGGGGTGTAGGTTGGGGAAACAAGGCACTAACAGCACAACTTTTATAGAATTAGTTGACATTAGCATGGCTCATTCTACTTAAGGCAAGAAAGGAATCCACCTGGAATTTTTTTTTTATTAATTACTAATATAAGGGTAATTCACAGTTCTATCTATTTTATCATTTACAAAGTGTTTTTCCTCACAGCAACTCTATGAGGGAAGTGGTAAAAGTGTAATTACTTCCATCTTACAGATGAGGAAACTGAGACTTGGAGAGGCAAAGTACCTAAAGTCACTCATCTAATAAAGGGAGAAGCTGGGGCTCAAACCAAAGTTTCTTGACTCCCATTTCAATGCTTTTTTCATTGTACTATCTCTCCTGTGCTTATCCTATCATCACAACCTGAGTTATTATTATTACCATGTAGTGCTATGATAGAACTAAAAGTAAATTTGTATTCATCAGACTGTGTAAGTACAGTTTTCAAGTCATGATACGTTAAGTTCCTCTTTCTTTTTTAAAATAAAATTTTTTTAATTCAGTCATGTCAGATCCCATTTGGGGTTTTCTTGGCAAAGATACTGGAGTGGTTGACCATTTCCTTCTCCAGCTCATTTTACAGATGAGGAAACTCAGGCAAACAGGGTTAAGTGACTTACCCAGGGTCATACAGCTAAGTGAGATTAGATTTGAACTCACAAAGATTACTCTTCCTGATTCCAAGCCCAGTGCTCTATCCACTGTGCCACCCAGCTGTCAAATTTACTAATAGTTTTTTTAAGCTTCTAGGTCTTTATTAATTTAACGGATTTTTTTTTTTTTGCTTTCAATTCTGCTCCTCTTTCTTTGATTTTCAGAAATTCTATTTTAGTGATTGGAAGGTTTTTAAGAAAATGTTATTCCCCAGGTTTGTTTTTTTCAGTTGTATGCCCAATTCTTTGACATGTTCTCTTTTCTTGATGAGCATGTTTAGAGCCAAAGGAGTCCTCTGGATGCATCCAAAATCTTTTGGTTGCCATTATCTTTGATGAAATTAAATTATTTACTATTTCTAGGATCTGTTCTCTGACCCATCAATTCCTTAGGATTAATTTACTCAGCTTGCATTTAATTTTTAATCTTCAGTGGCCTTTTATTGAATTGCACTGTGGTCACTAAGGATGCTTAGTATTTCTGCTTTCTGCATTTGTTTGTGAGGTTTTTATGTCCTAGTACAACATGGACAGTTTTTGTAAAGCTGCTATGCTGAGAAATATATTTACTCTTTTCTATTCCTATTCACTAATCACACCAGAGATCTAGCATATCTAAAAATTCAACTTAAGTTAAATTAATTTAAATCACTTGAAAAATTCAGTGCACATCGATAATTTCCTTCTTGCCTTTTTTGGGTTAGATTTGTCTAGATCTAAAAGGTCAACACTCAAGTCCCCAAATTATATAGTTTTTACTGTCCAATTCTCCCTGTGATTCACTTAACTTTTAAGTATGTATATGGTATGCCATTAAGTGCATATATTTTAGGTATTGATATTAATTCATTGTCTATTTTACCTTTAAACATAATGTGGCTTCCTTGGTTGGGTGGTTTTTTTTTTCATTAAGTATATTTTTACTGTTGCCTTGTCTGAAACCATGACTATCACTCTTGCTTGATTTCAGGTAAAATGTGTAACAGACTCTTCTCCAACCTGTTATTTTAACCTAAGTGTGAATCTTTATGCTTCAACTGTTTTTCGTGCAAAGAAAATATTGCTGAATTCTACTTTCTAATTCGTTCTGCCATTCCCTTCCATTTTATGACTGAGTTCACCTCATTCACATTTACTATGGTGATCAGTAATTGTATGTTTCCTTCCATTCCACACTCTAGGTTTTTTTTTTTTGCCTTGCCCCCTGCCCATCTCTTTACATAGTGGAAAGAGAAGAGTGTGCTCAGCACCCATAAAGTAGTTTGAAAAGATCTTCTTCTGTTGATCTCCTGCCCTTCTCTTCCCCTCTCTTATAACCCACATCATTGTTTCTTATCATTCCTTTCTTTCCTTTTAAAGCCATCTTTACAATCCCCTCCAAGGTTACAGCAGTTTTGCTTATGACTAATCTCTCCCTGAATCTACCACTTACTCATCCATTCACTCCTTTCCCCTCCTCAACTTCAATATATTTCTGCACCAAACTTTGTGTGTATTCTACTCTCTTTTGATAGGTTGAGATGCAAGTGACATTCAAGTGATACCGTCTCCTCCATAAGCTTCCCCTTTTTGTAATATATTAAGTGTAAGACAGTAAGTTACCTCAACTATCTTTCCTTTAGTTTTTTCCCCTTTCCTTTCTTCTTTTTAAGAAAGGTAACAAAACCCCTCCCAACCCCTGTGTTTTTTAATTCTTTCTATGACTCTTGCTTACAATATAGTAAGTTCCTAAAATTTCCCAATTTGGCTCTGTGGGAAGACAAACACGGCTTTTGATAAAAGCCAATTAATCCAATCACCCTTAAAGGGGACCGAATTCTTCCAGACCAGGGCAGCAATATCCACCTTCAGATGTAAAATAAATAGAAGCTTTGCATATCAAAAGACACTGGATACCCAACTGTAGAAAAACCAAGAGCAATTAATTTTTTTTTTTTTTTTTTTTTTACTATTTCTTCCTCCTGTTAATTGATTATATATTTCAGGCCCTGCTATCCCTTCCTGGAATTTCACCATTTGGAATGAAGGAAAAAATCTAATGCATGGAATCACGTACTATATGAACTACAGTTCTTAGAAAAGACAATAATGGAACATTTTAGGGGAAAGACAACAATCTCGTTTTTGTGTATTTTTTTTGTTTTGTTTTGCTTTTTTTTGCTAGGCAATGGGGTTAAGTGACTCACCCAGGGTCACCAAGCTAGTAAGTGTTGCCTGTCTGAGGCCACATTTGAACTCAGGTCCTATCCACCACTGCACCACCTAGCTGCCCTGAGAGACAAAAATCTCGATGAATTTCTTGAATGTTTTCCTCAAAAGAGTACAGATGATTCTGCAGGAAAGTTTCCAGCTTGGAAATATCACTCACCACAAAAGTGTCATAGGAAAACTGATGTCTGCGTTGAATGTGATCTATGAAGTTAGCGCTCCGGTAATTAGGATCTCCCCAGGGCATTGAGGCACAAATTGGACAAACCTTTAAACCAAGAAAAAAAAAATCATAAAATTCTAGATCATCAGAGTCTAAAAGAATCTTATTTACCTAGTGTAACCACCCATTTTATAGATAAGGAAACTAGGTTTCTTAACTCTCACTCCAGTGCTCTTTCTACTGCAAAATTATGAGCCTCTCAAAATGTAATTTCCAAAATCTAAACAGGCATTACATCACGCTACATAATCAACACACACATTTTCAACATCTAGCACGTTTGATACAAAAAAGGTGCTTAAAAAATGCCCGCTAAGTAGCAACACAAAACAAAAAAATACAAAAGAGATGCTATAAGGTTCTATATAATAAACTGTCAAGCTAAGCATACAGGTAGCATGTGCTGAAGTCACAGAAGCAAGAAAGCACTATACGCTGTGACAGTTTTGGAAGACTTCGTAGAGGAGGGATAAGAGTTGGGCTTTGAGGCCTCATTATGGAAAATGCTCTCCACATCCAAAGAAAGAATTATGAAATTTGAATGCAGATCAAAGCATACTACTTGCTACCTTTTTTTTTCTCTTCTGCTGAGTTTTCTTTCCTCTTTCTGGTGGTTCCTCCTATTGGTTCTAATTCTTACTTACAACATCACTAATGTGAAAGCACATTTAATAGGAATGTATATGTATAGCCTATATCAGATTGTGCGCCATCTTGGGAAGGGTGGTGGGGTGGAAGGGGGAGAAAAATTTTAAACTCAAAAGCATATGGAAGTGATTGTTGATAAATCAAAATAAACTAATAAAAAAAAAAAGAGTTGGGCTTTGAAATATAGATAGGATTGGAGTTGGCAAAGAAAAGGGTGAGAACATCAATAGGGGATGGAGAGTGCAAGCAAAGAACAGTCCCCAAATATAGCTACATTCAAGAGAACCAGTCTATTGTGAATCCAGGATAAAGTTGATGATATCATTCAATTAAGAGGCAAATTATCAATTATAATATAAGAGGAGAGACTAATCTATACTGCCAATTTGTTGTTCAGTCATGTCTGACTCTTCGCGACCCCATCTGAGGTTTTCTTGGCAAAGGTACTAGAGTGGTTTGCCATTTGCTTCTCCAGCTCCTTTTACAGATGAGGAAACTGAGGCCAATAGGGCTAAGTGACTTGCCCAGGATCACATAGCTAGTTAAGCGTCTGAGGCCAGAACTGAACTTAGGAAGATGAGTCTTCCTGACTCCAGGCATGGCACTCTATCAATTTCACCACCTAGTTGCCATATCGCCAATTAGATGGAGCAAATCTGAACATCTGGAAAAAAATTCAAAGGGACAATAATAGCCTGATCAGTCCAGTCCTCTTTGAATTATCTTTTATTATCAGTCTAAATATTCATACTGGGCATCTTTCTCATGAGTATAAATCAAATTTTAAAAAAAACTATATTACCACTGAGTTAGTGTCCGTGCTGTGGTACACTTTGCAGTGTTCAGCTAGTCCTTCCTGATCAAAGTTCTTCTCAGGACAGTAAGGACATGGAAAGGTAAATCGATTTGGGATATTCCTATTGAGAGGGAAAGAAAGATCACCTATACAAATCAATAATCACACAAGTGGAAAACTAAGTTACGCTTCAACAAATATTTATTAAAGTGCATATCATGTGAAAAATTCTATGCTAAGAATTTCAAAAAAATCACATACTATAAAATTAATTTATTGTGACATGACAAAGATGATTTTGAGAAGAAGGGTATAACAGAAAGGGTGCTATATACTTGAAGTCAAGTTCAAATCCAGATTAAGCAATCATGAACAAGTCACTTAATTTCTCTAAGCCTCAGTTCCTCTATCTAAAAAATAGGGATTAAAATTCTGACACTACCTACTTCAAAGAATTGTAATGAGGAAGGTACTTTGCAAATCTTAACAAGTTTGCAAAGAGAAAAATCTTAACAGATAATGTAAATATAAGTTGTAATTATGATTTCTGATACTAAACACACAGAGTAACTAAATTTTCCACCTCAGACAAAGCTTAGAGATTGAGCTTTTCATGATATGGGTGTCAAATTAAAAACAACTTACGTAAACTCATAAAACATTAAATCATCTAGCCCTTCCTCCTTGATTTACAGATAAGGAAACTGAGGTCTACCAAGGGCATAACTTGCTTAGGATCCGTAAACAAGTTAATGGCAAAGATAACACTAGAACCCAGGACTTCCAATTCCTAGTCTAGTACTAAATAAAATACAAACACCAAACAGCTAAAACTAATAAAATGCTTACACTTCTATCTTCTTGAAGTTATTTAGACACTTGAAAATACTGCACTGAACACCTTTGGTTCATTTAAAGTAATTCCCAGGTAGAAATATAAGACTTACGGAAACTACAAGACCCCAAATACAAAAGAAATAGTTGAGTGGTAACATATTTACCTTGACTGATATGCCATATCCTTAGTGGTAGCTTTAACACCCTCCATTAAGTAGCTCTGATACTTGGAACAGGAAGCCACATGGTTACGCATTTTTGATAGAGACAACTAGAGAATCAACATGAAAGAGCAAGTTAGAATACTTAAAGGAGGAAAAGAATCACTGTTTTGTCCAAGGGGTTGAGTTCTTTTATTCAGGGAAAGGAGAAAGCAATTGGGGCCAAAAAGTTAAAAATAAAGGTGTCAGACACAAGTTCGGGTAATCAGCACTTGCCATAGCTTACTCATAATTCTCAAGTTACTCACCAATTGAAGGTGCCCATCCTAGAATCATTCTACAAAAGACACAGGAAACTTAGAGATTAACTAAACCAAACTTTTCCTTTACATAGAAGAAAGTGATACCAAGAGAAGGGAACTGACTTGCCTAATATCACAAGCCTAGGTCTTCTCTTGTTAGAAAAACGTTATTTCTATCTTGGGTTGAATTGGCCATGTGACTGGCTATGAAAGTCCCTGGAACATCAGGGCTGGCTAGAAGGCCAGGCGTGTAGTTTATTACTAAAATACATAGCATAAAGTATTGTGTTAAGTGACAGGCAGGAGAGAAAGAGTTATATTTAATTCATTAACATCCATTAAGCACCAACTGTATGTGAGAAATTATACTAGGTACTGATATAAACTCTTCTATAAAGAAGCTTAAAAAAAAGAATGGGGGTCATCTAGTCTTGCTGGAATGAAGAAGGTATTAAGTAGTAAGGGATAACGCTGGAAAGGGAAGTTGTAGCCAGATTGGTTTTTTCCATGCCAGAACCTAGGCCTATATTTTAATTCAGGAATCAATGACAAGCCACTTAAAAGTTTTTGAGGAAAGAACTTGACCAGCTAAAGATTATATAGGCAGCCAAGTGAAAAATGGATGTGAGAAGGGATAGACTAAATGTAGAAAGACTAATTAGGCAATAATAATCTAGGTAAGAGGTGACAGAGACCTGAAAAAGGTTGGTTGCAGAAGTGGGAAAGAGGGGATAGAGGTGAGATATTTTACAAATCAATAGGACAAGGCAATTGTTTGGATGTGAGGGGTGAAGAAGAGTTATACGATTGGTAGCACCATCAACAGAAAAAAAAATACTAATAGGAATTTATTACAGGAGTGAGGGTGGTAAGGAATTAAAGGAAGTGAGTACAGACTGCTCTTTCTAGAAGTCTGCCAGTAAGAAAGACAGAAAACTAGCTTGAGATAGCAAAAAGAAAAAGAAAAAGGAAAAGAACTTTTTTTTTTTTTTAGGATAAAGATCTAATTATTGTAGGCTTAAGGGAAGGCCACAATAGAGAAGGAAAAGAACTATAACCTATTGAAGTCACAGAAGAGAAAGATGTAGGTGGAAAGGTTAGTCTTAGCAAGAGGATTCCTCTTCCTCTAAGACTGGAAAGATGCTATGTTGGGAGAGATAAGTTTAGTGTAAAAGAGTAAAGAAATTCAAGTGGAGTAGAAGATAAGATTACCTAAGAGTGGGAGAAAGCAATGGAATTTGGGGACTAAGGAGACAAATGTGATAAGGTATAATATCAATGAGTCAACAAGTATTTGTTAAGAACCTATTATATTCCATACACTCTTCTAAGTGCTAGAGAATGGAACAACTGCACCTCCCAAAGAGTTCACATTCGAAAATGAAGCAATGAAGACCTAAGTGAGGTTTAAAATCATAGGGGCATAGACTCAGAGCTGGAATGGATCTTATAGGCCATTTATTCCAAGTCCTTCATTCTTACAGATGAGGAAATGAAGGCCCAGAAAAGTTAAATGACCTGGTAATTTAACCACACTGATAACAAAGTCACATTGGTAATAAGTGGCAGACGTGGGGTTTGGACCTAGGTCCTTTGACACAGCAGTTTTTCTACTACACCAAGGAGAGATAGCATGAACTTGTAGTAGAACAAAGGAATGGGGTTTCATGATTTCCTCCAGCAAAGGGAATGGCAGAAGATCAAGGCAGCAAGAGGGAAGGACTTTATTGAAACAGCTATTTACAAGGGTAGAAAGTAAAGTGAGCCCAGATTATTGAGAATGGAGAATAGGGAGGAATCAAAGAACTGGAGATTGTGAAAAGTGTGAAAAGCAAAGTTTGAGGAAGACCTACAAGATCTTTTCACCATCTGTGTTGATTATCCTCTTATTAAACTAAACCCTGCCAGCTGTAAGAGCTAGCTAGTTGTGTGACCTGCAAGTTTTCTAGCCTCTTTAGAGATTAGTTTCCTCTTTTGTAATAAGAGGAGACTGGACTAGATGGTTTCTAATTCTAAGGGTTATTCCAACTCTAATATTCTGGGACTGTGCTAGCCAATGGAAAATGGATTTTAACTTATTAAAATGTTTCAGTTAATCAAGGGCAGCTAAGTGGCACAGTGGATACAGCACCAGCCCTTAAGTCAGGAGGACCTGAGTTCAAATCTGGCATCACATCAAACACTTGTCACCTACTAGCTGTGTGACCCTGGGGCAAGTCACTTAACCCCAATTGCCTAATAAAAAAAAATGCTTCAGTTAATCAGAAAATTTTAGTTTTACTGGACTGAAGAATTTTGCTTCCATGTTCAATAATTCCCTTGACAATATCAACTTAAAGAGGTTACCCTGAAAGTTAGTTTTTATTTATGGTAAGGTTTCTGCCTTGAAGACACACATTCTGATCTCAGTAAATCTTTTGTTAACTTTTCTATAATACCACTGAAACTTGGCCACTAACCACATGAGACAACATCCTAGCAGTCTAGGATCTAGTAGTACTAGTTCATGTCTAATTCTGATAGGACTTAAGACAGACTACAAGCTTGTAAAATTAATATGCTGTCAAAAGGACAGATCTAGAAAATATAATACTCAATTCCAAACTGCCCTTTCTATAAAATCTGGGCATTACACTAAGAAGAAAAAGATATTTAAACCTAAAGAGACTTGAGAATATTTGATTATAAAGAACTGACAGAACCAAAGATTCAGAGCTGAGAAAAGACCAACTTTGCATTTGCAGATATGAAAACTATGGCTCGAAAAAGGTTAAATATATCACTGCTCAAGGTGGCAAGACAAAGACTCAAGGCAAAGGCTATGAACTTCAAGTCCACTATTTTTTCACTACATAAAGCAAGAAAGAAGCAAGCAGAGTAATGCAGTAGAAAAAGTGCTAGCCTTGGAGTAAGGAGGATGGGTCAAAATTTCTGTTCCCAAACTTACTAGCTGCCTGACCCTGGCACTCCTTCTGTGTCTCCTCCCTAGATCCTCTTCCAGATCATGCCTTTATCAGCTCCATATAGACTTAACTGTCATCTCCACACTGATGATTCTCAAATCTACCTCTCCTGCCCCAGCCTCTCTGCTCATCTCCAAACTCCCACCTCCAACTACCTTTCAGATATCTTGAACTGGATGTATAGTAGGTATCTTAAACTCAACATGTCCAAAATGGAACTTATCTTTCTCCCTAAACTCCACCCCCTTCTTACCTTCCCTATTCCTGTCAAAGACACTATTATCCTCCCATCCTGAGGCTCCCAACCTAGGAGTCATCCTCAACTTTTCACTATCTCTCACCCCACTTATGCAATCTGTTACCAAGGCCTCTCAATTTCACCTCTGTAACATTTCTCAAACACACCCTATTTATGGTAACGATGTATGGTATGGTTCTGTCCTCTAACAGCACCATCACGCTGATGCAGACGCTCATCATTTCACACCTGGACTACTGTTAATAGCCTGCTGGTTAGTCTGCCTGCCTCAAGTTTCTTCTCACTCCAATCCATCCTTCATTCAGCCACGAAAGTGATTTTCCTAAAGCAAAGATCCAACCATATCACTCCCTTACTCAACAAACTCTAATACCTCCCTATCACCTCTAGGATCAAATACAAAATCTTACTGGGCATTCAAAGTTACACACACACACACACACACACACACACACACACACACACAATAACCCCTAGCTTTTCAGTCTTCTTACATCCTACTCCCCAATATGTATTCTTTGATACAGTGAAACTGGCCTTGTGATTATGCCACAAAGAAGACACTCTTCTTCTCTTAGCTCTGTGAATTTTCTCTCATTATCCCCATGCCTGGAATGCTCTCCCTCCTCATCTCCTCCGACTGGCTTCCTGTAAGTCTCAACTAAAAATCCTATCTTCTACAGGAAGCCTTTCTCAACCCCTTAACATTCAATTCCTACATCTTCCTCCTTCTGATTATTTACATTTTATGCCATTTATAGCTTGTTTGTACCTAATTGTTTGCTTGTTTTCTCCCCCAACAGATTGTGAGCTCCCTAAGGGCTGGGATTGTCTTTTGCCTTTTTTGTGTCCCCAGCACTTAGCACAATGCCTAGTATATAGGTGCTCAATAAATATTTACTGAATGACCTAACAATTTAAGCTCTCTGACCATTTAGTTTTCTTTCTCCTCATAAAATGGGGATAAAATTCTCATACTACCTAAACTCACAGTGTTGTAGAAAGGAAAACACTGTTAAACCATCAAGGGCCACATAAATATCAGATTTTATTACTGTTTAGAAGCACAGCAACCACTAAGAATAAATTCTCTCACATTTACCAAATGAATTTCAAAAAGGCACAAGTAACAAGTGGAATGCACCTGTATGCTTCCACTTTGACTGCTGCACATACATTTTTTTTGCAGCCATTACAGGTCGCCTCCGTTGCTTCAATTTGCTTTTCTAAGTCCACAGCTTTGGTTCCCAGAGACAGAGCACTTCGACAGACTCCACAGACCGGTTTCTTCGGTTTTAGACACTGTTGCAGGCAAACAGCACAGAAGCTAAAACAAACATAAATGATTTGACAAAAGTTCACAGTTATGTCCTCATCAGACAACCATGGTATGCCAACTAATGAAGCTCTGCTGACAGAAAAGTACTTGTTATGAACTATAAACACTCCATCAACAAATGGCAATTTATCCAATTTGGTGGATTTAAGACAAGGTATTTACAATAAAATCTACCAGAAAGCCTGCAACAGCAATGCATTGCCAACAGCAGCCATCCTGATAACAAGTACATTCCACTTGTATCACTTGTTTTACTGCCCAGCATTCCCCATAATATTTGGTAAACTGTAATTACAACTGTCCCCAGGCTCAGTAAAGCAGGACGATGCTTTTGTGGGAAGGACACACTGGAACTGGATCTGCAATAACGACCAAACATGCTTACTGAACACTATGTAGGCCATCAAAACAGTAATTTAAGTAGATACCTAATTACCTAGGAAACTTAATGAAAACAGAGAACAGCAAACAAAAAACTCTAACAATAACATATTTGTATAGTACTTCACTTTCACTTCTATCTCATTTAATCGTTACAACAATCCTGGAAAGTAGGAAGAGTGGGGGTCATTATGCCCATTTTTCAGATGAGAAAGCCGAAGCTCAGAGAAGTGATCTAACTTCCTCAAAGACACACAAAGATAAATTAGTGGCATAAATGGACTAGAATCCACCAAATCGTCTGATTCATATCCCTGTGTAATTTCTACTATGGCAAACTACCTCTTCAAATTAACACAAAATTATGTTGCAAAATCTTCAATCTTATAAGGAAGTACAGATCACATCCCAACTGTTATCTGGCTATGGATGATTATATGTATTATATTATAAATTTTATCCAAATAATGTTATTTTAATTCCACCGTTATTTTTAAACCCTTTCAGTTTTCAAATTGGCTTTCTGTTTCAGTTTCCTACCATTTCTTCTCCCTGGCTAAGTACTGATGCCCCACCCATTTTTTCTATTTTGCCTGCTAAGGCTAATCTTGTCTCTAGGGTACTAAACTAGTAGTGTCCTAAGCACCAAACTCAATTATATCATAAGACCAAAAAAGGGGTTAGGAAAAAGGAAATAAACGTCAAGTCCTTTGTCTCAAAGCTAAAAATTCGAGGGTATAGCAACTGCTCAAGTTTACAACCAAATTTCAACAAATACAATCAAATTTGGTGGCTTTTATTCTGGTAGGGTCAAGTAGACAGCACTACCTACCTCACCAGAGTTCATTCTGTTAACTTTACATAAAGCCCCTCACTTATTAACGTTTCCCACCCCCAGTTCCCCACAACTCTCCCCTCCCAAAATCTTCATTACTCCAGTTTGTTTCCTTCTTCCCATCCGAGTCCTTTCCTCTTTTCCCATTTATTTTCATAGAATCACAGACTATTAGACAAGGAAGAGCCTCAATATTTCATCACTTCCTTTTCTCTCTCTCCTCCGTTCTCCCCTTCACCTCGGTCTACTCCACTTCCCACCCTGGGGCTACAGTCATCTTTTCTTCAGTCCTCTTCTCCCGCCCTCCCCCCAGTCCTTCCCCATGAACCCCGCTCCCTCTCCTATGCAGCCCTACCCCCCACCCCACCCCGCAGTGTTTCCTCTGTCCTGACCCACAAGATCATAATTCTAGAACTGGAAGAGTTTCTAGGCCACTGAGTCCAACCCCCTCACTTTACAGATGAAGAAACTGAGACCCGTAGAAGTTAACTTGACTTACTCCAAGGTCACACAGCTGGGATGCTCTGGCCCTAAGACCCTCTTCCCATCCCCCTCCCTCCCCCCCACCTGGCTCCCATTATCTAATCTTCATTTCCCCTCTCCCTTCATTCCTCATCTCTCTCGCCAGTCCTCCCTCACCTCTCCAGAAACACTCCCCCCAGCTGCCCCCCGACCCAGCAGCCCCCTTCCCTCCTGTTCCCTCTCTCGGACCCTGTCCCCGAGGCTGTCGTACTTCATTCCTCTCTTTTAGTGTCTGTCTCTCCGCTCAGAACTCGCTGAAAGGCGCCCCCACCCTCGCCGCACCCCCAGCCCCCTCAGCCCCTCCCCCACTCCCCGCTTACACGTGTCCGCAGGGCACCCGCTCCGGCTTCTCGTACACCTCCAGGCACACCGGACACGTGAAGCGGGACAGGGGGTTCGCCGCAGCCGAGGCCCCAAACAGCCCCGAGCCCCTGTCCAGCGCCATCTTGTCCTCCCCCAGCGCTCCTCAGAGAACTGAGCGACGGCGGCCGGGAAGTAGGGGCAAGGCGTGGGGGGCGGAGGGAAGAGGGACGACGCAGAAGGGGTGGAGCGGGGAGGGAAAGGGAGGGGCGGGGAGGGGCGGGGAGGGGAGGAATAAGAATGTGGAGTAATCATAATCATAATCAAAATTTTATACAGTGTATTCCAAAAGTCAGTGCAGTTTTAACTTTAATAGCTTTAAGTTTAAGCTTTAATAACTTAAAACTGCTCTGACTTTGGGGATGCTATATAGTGCAAATATTGTCTCATTTTATTCTTACAATAACCCTGGGTGATAGGTGCTATTATTACCCCCATTTTACAGATGAGGCAACTGAGGTTAAAGTGACTTGCTCAGGGATACACATCTGAACTCAGGGCAGCTTCCTGACTCTAGGTCCAGCTTTCTATCCACTTCATCACCTAGCTGCTTAGGATAATGCCTAGAGAATGGGCTTCCAAGCCAAGAATTATTGGGATGAAGACTAACCCCAGGTCTGAGAATCTCTCTCAGAACTCCAGTGTGTCCTTATCACCTCCAGGATCAAATAGAAAATCTTCTCTAGCCCTTTATTTCAAAGCCCCTCACCCCAAAGCCAAACACACACACACACACACACACACACACACACACACACACACACACA